TGATTGTTTTCATACTTGTGATTTTTCATCTTCCCTACAGTGCCTTCAATAATATTCTCAGTAACCTGGGCCACGTGCAGAATCCTGGACTTCCTCTTCCTGCTGATCCTCAGGGCTTCCTCATCCTCAAGGTGCAGCACTATTTATCTCATGGCCACTGTGCTAATTTTAGGGATGCTAAAATAGCAAGAGTTGTGTTGAGTCAAGCTGTAGATGTCTAATCGCTGTTTTGATCTCAGAGCTAAATCACTTTTCTATTTAAAAGTCTAAAATCATAAAGCAGGGAACTCCATAGTAGAGTCTTTGCCTAACATGAACAAGACCCTCCATTTGATCCCAAGCACAAAAAATAACTAAGTAATGAATTATAAAGCAAAATAGGCCAAGTGCCCATTGAAAATGAATCCAGTGGCTTGTGGTCTGCTGAGCCAGTTGATAATCTGCAGCTAAAGAGCCAACCATATTTTGGTATCTTGACCACTAACTTCCTATTTTACAAAATTCTTTCATATAAAGTTCAACTTTGGTCTTTGACCAAAATTCACTCAGTTCTAAAGGAGGTATTCATGGTGACAGGAAACGCTGTGTGAGACATAGCACATTACTTGTGGGAATATTGGGGGCTGGAGAAAGATAACCACTTATTCAAAGTGTAGTTTCCTTTCTTCTTCCTCAGAATCTGAATCAGTTACTTAGAGGTTCAGTCTTTTGCACCCCTAAGTCAGAGGACTACATCTAATATACGAACATATGTACCCTGGACCTTGAGTAGAAATGATAAAGAAAAGCAGGTCTTTTACGATGTATGGAGAAAAGCTGCTGCTGTGACAAGTAATCCACAGCCATCCCCTCCCCAGCAACTCTCCAGCAAGGCAGAGGCTTAATACAATAGTATCAAGTACTTAATACAAGCTACATTTGTTTGAACCTTATCCTGTGAAAGAATGATCTGTTGCATACACAAATACCTTTTTATCACGACCATATTAAGTATAAATGCTTAGAAAAAGAAAGTTACTCTTATACAGAAATTAGAGGGACCATGAAACAGTCTTGTTTTTAGACAGAAGAGTCATTTGGGAATGCTTGGCACTGCACACAAAAAGAGGAGAGAGAGAGAGAGAAGGGTTGGGGGCCAGACAATGAGATCACTCTTTGGGAAAAACACTTACCAAGCAGATCTGACAACTTGAGTTTGATCCTCAGATCCCAGGGTGGAAAGAGAGAATTGACTCCTAAAGTTGCCTCTGACTTCCACCTGCCACCGCCCTACACACACACACACACATCACATAACGCACAAATAATAAACTAAAATTTTTAGATCTACTATGTATATAGCATTACTGGTCAATCAAAACATATAAATAAAAACCCAGCATAGAATTGGAGAAATGAATAGGAGACCCCAACCTTAGCCAAGGAACTATTTTGGTAACCGATTACTGGTGGGTGAGGGATAGTTCATCTTCTTTAAGGGAGTGACTCTAGATAGGCTAAACAGGCTCCAGTGGATGAACTCACACACAGAGACAGCTGGGTACAACTGGGAAGGGAGTCTAAATATGATTAAGATATATTGTATGAAATGGACAAAATTAAATAAAAATTTAAATGTTTGTTAAAATATTTAAGAATTATATTTAATTAAAATTTAAAATATTAGTTTAAGAAGAAAAAATTTGAGAAAAATAAGAGTTTAGAATATTGTTATGGCTTTAATGTGAAATGCCTCACAGAATCCTTTGTTTAAGCAGTTGGATTGGTCTGCAGTTGGCAACAGTGTTTTGGGAGGTTGACGAACCTTTAGAACTGTGGCCTAGCTAGCAGAAATGGGTCCCTGAGGGAGGCAGAGAAATTGAAGGTGATATCTGCCCTGGTTTTAGCCAGATATCTGTTTCCTGATCTGCCAGAGTGTGAACTCCCATGCCATAAGCTCTGACCACTAAGGACTGGATTTCTCCAGTCTCCATGCCTTCCCTGACATAAAGGACTGCTGTCTAGAACTGTGAGCCAAAACAAACCGTGCCTCCCTGGTTGCTTCTATCTCGTGTTTTATCACAACAATGAGAAAAGTAACTAATCTACATGCTTAATATATATGTAATATCACAGATATTCTAGTAAGTAAATTCAGGGTCGAAATATACCCATTAGACCCAAGCTTTTCCCTCTGACATCAATGATCTCTAGGCCCCCTACACACACATACACACACACACACACACACACACACACACGTGCATATGTGCATGCTTACAGAGGAGCTACTGGCAGTGGATAGTTGCTGGGAGGTGATCATTCGTTTTGAGGATGGCCACTGGTAGGTTTCCCAAGCTCCAGTGAATGGCCCCACATGTATATAGGCAACTCTAATTGGATTTAGTGGATTATCAAAAATAAAGATATAAACTTGGAGAGAACTGCATTGAAGGGATATGGGGGGAATTGGAAGGGGAAATGAGGAGTAGACAGTATATTCAAGATTTCTGCTGAGAGCTGTGCACTCTATTGGCAGAAAGTGAATATTAACACAGATATACATGCACATGTGTGTGCGGTTTCATTAGGTTAGAAATGCAACCCCTCAGTTAAAGAATCCATGTTCTTGATATAGAAACTGAGGCTAAATATTTAAATTATTTTTAAGTCACAAAAATGACTAAAAAACCTACCCCCTCCCCATTCCCCTGTGCGGTGCTTCAAACTGTGCATAGCCCAAACTGAAGGCTACACCGGGCAGAGCCACTGCAGGCTTTGTGGTTTCTGCTTACACTCATGCTAGCACTTATAAATAAGCTCTTATTCCATGGATAGATTCTTATTTTAAATGGAGGAAAGAGGTAGGAAAGGGGCAGAGACAAGGTGGAAAAAGTCTACTGTCGACAAGTTCGAGTACTGACGTTATTGGAAAAAAACTGGAGAATGAGCACTTTAAGGATTCTCAGCGGATGGAACGGCATAGGGGAAACATGAATTTCCAGAACTCCACAGAGGAAAGCAGGTTCTCTCCTGTTGCATATGGCTGGCTTTTTTCCAAGCCTGGCTTCTGGGTTTCCTAAGCTTAGACTCTGAAATTCAAAGAGTTGACTTATTCTGAGTGTATGTTGGTTCTGGCAACTGCTAAGTGGATCAGTGTAAATCCCCCTATTTACCAAGAGGGTTTTTTTCTAGGTAAGAGTGTTTTGCCTGTATATGTGTAAGTGCACTTGTGTCATATGATGCCCACAGATGCCAGAAGAGGGTATCGGATCCCCTGGAACTGGAGTTAAGGATGGGTGTTAGCCACCATGTGGGTGCTGGGAGCCCAACCTGGGTTCTCTGGAAGAGCAGCCAGTGCTTTTAACCACTAAGCCATCTCCCCAGAACCCCCTAGAGGGAAGTACAAGGAGAAAGTACATGGAGAAAGGCCAAGGGATTATTTTCATAACAGAGTCTTCCTCCGTCTGATGGCCACACTTCTCAATTTATTTGCTTATGCTCCTTGTAGATTCCCCGATGTCAATCAAGGCTGAACTGAACATGACCTTGGCGTAACCATTCTTCCTGTGTGATGACTCAGCAATCTGAGCTTTGTCTCCCCGAGACTGTAGAACTAGACAACTCCTTCCCTCTCTCCAGGCTTTGGCTTCCCATCTGTACCATGATGGAGCTGCCTTCTGATACTGAGACTCCATGGTGCTACACACAAAGAAAGCAGTAGCTAATGTACTGAATAAGGACAACAGCAAAAGTGTCAAGTGAGCACCCAATAACGGGAGAGAAGGGAAGGCTTTGACATACTTCCCCTATTTTCTTTGCATTAATCACACTCTGAAAAGAGCAAGAATTCATGTCAAGAATCTCTATCTGTAAAAAACTAAAAAGGAGCTTAGTGACACAGTGGCATCTGGCATGCATGAGTTCCTAGGTTCAATTCCCAGTACAGAAAAATGCAAGCAAAAGGAGTCTTGGCTTCATTATAAGACACAAACATGAAAAGGCAGATCTACTTCTTCACCCTCTACCAGCACTTCAGGGACAGCTTGAGCCTCCACACAAAGCCTTCGCCAAGTTAACTATATACATGGATCATTCTTTTCTCTGACCACCCACAACCCTAGGGCTTGTCGTTCCTGTTTACAGTTAAGCCTGCTGTTTCTCCTCTGCTAGTTCCTGTTTCATCTGTGCAGGTCCTGTTTCTCTAATAATTATTAACACCTTATTTTCTTACTGTATCCTTCACTTGTCTTCTCTATATTTCTCACAAAATGCAT